TTTTTTTTTTTTTTTTTTTTTTAATTCTGTGCTAGTTAGCACTCACCAGCGCGGGAGTCAATAATCCCATGAAAATGGATGACCCTGTTTTTTTTTTTTTTTTTTTTTTTTTTTTTTTTTTTTTCAATGCAGCCCTTTACCACAACATAGCACAGAATTAACTGCAACACAACCCTACGTGCAAAATGCGTCGCCACGAATACCTACCTGTACCGGTACAGTCATACTTAACCCGCACACAGTTGTAAAAGAGAGATAGAGCACTACATCGGTATAAATTACACGTGGTACATAATGTACATCCAACACAGTTGTGCATTTCTTCCAAGTGCAGAGATTACCTGCGTCAGTTTTTTTTATGAATTCCATTCAGTGGTCCCATACACACATCGCATCATTTGAAGGGGACGATCAGTGCGAGACCCACTTTGCCAACATCTCCACACTGGCGAACATTTTTTTTTTATATGCTCCTTTTAATCTATTCGAGCAATTGTAGAATGTGTGCAGGGACAAGGCAGCGGAGAAATCAGAAGCTGTCATTGTAGGGCAACAATTATGCACGTGTGCATATGTGTACATAATTAGCTTCTCTTATGGAGCGGGAAGCTCCTCCTACCCCCTCTGGGATGGTTTTATGAGAACAGCAGTGAAAAATATCTGCACATTTATGTGTGCGCAATGGGTTTGTCAGATGGTACACCTTCCGTTGAGGCATGATAGGGAACGCCTCTTATAAAAGGTCTAACTCCCCTTTTGCAAAGAAAAAACAGTCACTTCATTCTTTCCTTTTTATTAACATTAAAGGGAATATTCTTCCCTTTTCCGTGTCATACGAAAAAAAAAAAAAAAACGGGGGACCTCTTTTACGGACTCTGCTGTGTGCTACCTTAACCCCCACACATGCGTCTGTGAGAAGAACAAACAAGCAGCAATTTTTATATAGAACAAAAAAAAAATGAAAAGAAAAAAGGTACCAATAGCAGTAGCAGTAACTGCAGCAATTACAACTGATGCAACGTGACACCCTCGGCAGGAGTGCAAACGTGTAGGCGGTAAAATTGGGACCCCCCCAACTTGAATTGCTGAACTGCTAAACTTCGCATGGATTAAAAGTAGCGAAGAACGGGCGGAACAAAATTATGTGCAACTGCTGATAACGCTAGTCAGCCAAGTAAATTAATTGCCCAGCGGGGTTTGGGAGAATCAATCCTGTTTTTTAACGCAGATCCGAGAAAATGTTACATGTAGAGGGGG